AAGCGGAAGCTGCGGCTTCGGGAAAAAGAGGGAAAGGTCTTAAGTTTCTTAGTTATGGACTCGCTTGGGCACTCACTGGTGCTACCGCTGCTACTGGTTACGTTAGCTATGGTATGTGTACTTGCATTTTCCTTGTGTAGATTACTGTTTACGATCGTTCTAGTAGTGAAATGCGAGTAAATGTGTTGTGGGTTTGATCATAGCATTGCAAATTCCAGTTTTTTCCCAATTTCTGTGTGTTTGAATTCATTGTTCTTCACTGACTTGTGATTGTTCTTGTTTATGCATAGCTTACACAATAGATGAAGTGAATGAAAAGACTAAGGCGTTTAGAGAATCAGCTAAGCAAGCACAAGCTCTTAGTTCTTCCAATGTTAATTCTTCGGGCATTGATGTGAGTTGCTTTCGAATTGACTATGACTACACATTGTTTCTGTATTGGCTTGTTGGATGTATCAATCAATTTGTATCTCAGTTACTTCTTGTGCTTCTATGTTTCTCTCGTTTAAGCTTCTCTGACTTTTATATACCCATCTCTCTCTTCTGCAGAAATATCAAGATATGTTGTACTCTGCTGCGATGAAAGGTATAGTGCTTTCGTCTCTGTCATCGTAACTAATAGTATTGTCTTTAATTAAGCGTAGTATGACTTTGTTTGCTTGAATTATCATCAGTTTCTGCCGGTGCCATCGATAAGTATTTGGAGCTTAGGGAGATTGTTGAGGAACATGTGAAAGTAGGTCCTTTCACCGAGACACAATATTGCTTTTTAATGCATCTTCTAATTTCTTCTGTAATTCTTATTTACTCTTTTGATTCGTTATAGGGCTTTACGGAACCTCTCTCGGAAAAGCTTCTTCCAGATATGCACCCTGCAGAACAACAGCAGATCTTCACTCTAGTTCTTGATTTAAATGAGACTCTGCTATACACAGACTGGAAGGTAACATTTTCATTGATTTGATAGTTGGCCACTGATCACCAACAACTTGTATCACAGATGTGAAGATGGTATCTTTGGCTCAGAGTTTTGTCACTGATTTGTTTTCTTAAGAAACACTGTATATAACCTTTCTGCCTCTTTCTTTACGAAATTGTTTAGCGAGACAGAGGGTGGAGGACATTCAAAAGACCAGGTGTTGATGCATTCTTGGAGCATCTTTCCAGATTCTATGAGATTGTCGTCTATTCTGACCAGATGGATATGGTAAAGTCCCATTGATATGTTTAGTTTTTTTCCTTCTTGTAATTTCATAGTTTTGTGGCGACTAATACTTGTTTCATTGCTTCTAGTACGTACTTCCGGTCTGTGAGAAGTTAGACCCAAATAACTACATACGTTTCAGGCTAGCAAGAGGTGCTACTAAATACGTGAATGGAAAGCACTATAGGGTACGTAAGCAGCTTATCTCAGTCAAAATCACTTACTAGAGTATCTGTTTCTCAACTAACTATTAAAATTTCCTGCTGCAGGATCTGTCAAAGCTGAACAGGGACCCGAAGAGAATTCTGTATGTTAGTGGAAATGCTTTTGAATCGAGCCTTCAGGCAGAGAATTGTGTGCCAATCAAGCCCTACAAACTCGAATCAGATGACACGGCCCTTGTCGACCTAATACCATTCCTTGAATGTAAGTATGGTGAATCGCCGAATAACACAAGTTCTATGCCAGTCTCGTCTACTGCCTTTTTCAATGTTCGTTAGTTGATTGATCCTTCCTGTTTGAGTATGCAGACGTTGCACGTAGCAATCCAGCTGATATCAGACCGGTTCTAGCCTCTTTCGATAGAAAAGATGTTGCCAAAGAGTTCCTCGAGAGGTCCCTAGAGTATCAAAAGTGAGTCAAACAGAACCTTTTCTCTACCCATCATTTAAATGCAAGATCTGTTGCCACTTTTCACTAAGACTGTCATTTGAATATGCAGGCGAAAGAAAGAACAACAAGGACAACAAGGCCGATTCTGGAAGCGTTAAAGGGATCGAAAACATTTCTGTATAGCGAGAGACGATTATATCCTCATCGATGCAACAGGAACAATGGCGCTACTGTTCTTCGCTGTGGGCTTAGGGTAAAATTCGAACTAAAAATCGTGTCTTTCTCATCAAAGAGTTATGTTCTTACCCAATTTTTTTCCCTCATTGTGACCTTTGTCTCCGCTTTACAAAGTAAACTCTTTCAAAAGAAATCACCATGAAAGGTTCCTTTTTTCGTAGGTTAACACTAATCTGTTTTGGTTAAATTACCAAATGATTTATGATTATGAGCTTTGATAAGTTATTATTAGTTGAAACGTCTGTTTACATGTATTGTTCAAAAAAAAAAAAGAGTAATTTACCTTTTCTAATATCTGTCAATTTCAATGCGTGACTTAAGGTGCAATTTCAAGTCTACAATTAGGTCAGTCAACCTCCAAATAATCTAAATTTGAATTCAACCAATTACAGAGATCCTTCAACCTGTAATCTTTTTATTCAATGTGTAGTAATCAACCAACCAAAAACAATAAATTATTGGTAGTACAAAACTCAATGACTTTTAATAGTAACATGGAGTACGACTCTTAAACACCACTTAATACTGTACAAGACATATCTCTTAACTTCGAATCTCAGACACACACAACAAACCCACTTAT